GCGTCAGAGAACGATAGAATCTAATTTCCCGCGGATGCCTTACCCAGCGGACCTTGAACGATCGGGACCGCGTACGTACATACTCGTCCTCCGCCTCCACGGCGGAGGATGCGTTCGCACATGTTCACGCAACGCGCGTGCAGAGTCCCTCTCGAATTATGTAGATTCGATGCAGCCATCAGTTGTGTGATCCGATGTTGGCCCGACTAAAGGGTAAACTAATGACGATAGCCCGCCGTTGGCCTAGCTCGAAGCGTCCAGCTACGTGCCACCGGAAGACTGCTTCGGGTCCGGCTAAAATCCCCGAATAGTAATTGGCAGGTCCCCGACGGTCCTCTGGGTCTGTCATCAGAACTGTACGAGCGTGACTGCGACAGACTCGGACCAAGGGAATCATTTCTTACCTCCCATGAATGCCGATTTGATTCGATTCGGACGGTTGGCTCCTACGCCAACCATTTTCCATCGCAATTGATTATTTCTATTCGGGGGGAGAAACGCCAGCGACGGAGAAATCTTTTTCAACGGTCCACATCGATGATCGACGGTAGAACGTTAAACTATCGTGACAATCACTGCAATTACTGACTTTTTTTTTATATATAATCAACAACATTCCATAGCTGTGGTATATAAACGAAAAGTAGCTTTGTTTGTGTCGAGGGAACAATTTCATTTTTGGGAACGTTGGGTAGCTCGGTTCTGTCTTCCGTTACACGTGTAATAGGATAGTATGAAATTATGACCGAAAAGGAAAAGCATGTAAGATAAATAATCTGTTAGGTATTTGTAAAACAGTCGTTGCGTTTCAATTTTCATTCACGAATTGCTGGGTACAAATAAAGCCAATTAATTATATATTCAGGATTTCTCTGTACCGTACGAGAGAAAGCATTCTGATGTATTTCCATACAGCGAGTGGAGGTCTGCGAAGTAACTTTGTTCAGGTATAGCCCGTCGCATGAAGTTTTGATACAAGTTCTTACGTATTTTATGGCATAAAGCGAGTAGAATGTTGTTTTGTTTTATACGCCTTTGAGTGATACGGTTTCATAAAATATGCAATATAAGTTGAAAGCACCGAAGTTACGTTCGTAGGATACGAAGTCCGCAGCAGTGCTTAGAAGTAAATTTTAAACAGAATAACAGAATTACATTGTAATCAACGTCCCTAAGTGAACGGCTTAAAGGATAGAAATATAAAAATTAAGAATTTTCAAATTGAAATCGATCGTTACGTTCTTATAATACTAATATCAGCAACGTTTTTATTCAACGATACGGATTAGGCTGATTTTCAAGTAATGACTGTGAGAAAACTGTAATTTGTAATATCGGAGCGTCGGTATGAATGAAAAGAAGCGAAAGGAATGCTTGACTTACGACCTTAAATTAATTAGCTATGAAGAATATTCATTTGCAACGATTGATGATAATCAGTTCCTTGAAGAAAACGCTTATCATTGCTAATTTCGTAATTGTACGACAGCACGTTACGGCTGTTTCAGTCATACAGCAATACGAATAACAGTACGGGGAGCACAATACGTACGCGTGTGTGCAGGTGCCTTGAAAGATCGTGGGATCTTTCTCTTGCATGAGTGAGGGCAACAACACAGATATCATTTCGAGGTGATCTAATATCAATGTTTCGCCATAAAAGGCACACTGGGATTTTCTTTATTGCAAAACTAGCGGTTTCAAACATAGTTTAGAACGATACAAATTATAATTACTACTTAAATTTCACATGCTGAGTCAAATATTACTATTTGCATGAACGAAAAAGTTAAACGTGTATGAAATATATTGCTTTATTTTTAATACCGTGGATACACTTGTTTTAACGTCTCGTTTATATGAAAAATTTCAGGAGAATTTCGTGGCACAATCGTACTTCGTAAATTTCCACCATAAATCTAACATCATTGTTTGCGTAATATAAATTATTTTTCAATATCGGTACACTTTTGTAAACGGTTTCGTTTTATGCATTTCAGTTCTGAATTAAAACATTACATCATGGCAAAGGCACTTGTCGCGCTCCATTTCCATTCTCCCATTATTCGAAAAGCTCAATACACAATGCACTTACACTATATTGTTATATCGTATGATATGACCTCAACGAAAGATGGAATCGATACAGGGCCATTGTGCAGTCTACAAAAACAAATTTCATTGTACTCGGTATCGTATCTGTACTTTAAGTATGATACAGTCTGTAGTACATGGAAAATGACGATAATGAAATTCTTTTTAAACCCTTCGTCTCAATATACGATAATTTTGACCCACTGTAACTTTCAAACCGCCTTTTACATATCATTATGTGCCCAGAGGTTCAATTTCGCGTGTTAAAAATGTGTACATAATTATAACTTCGTAAAAGTTTAAGACCGAATATAGGCGCACGTTCATTTTTTGGCTTTCTTTTCTACTTCAGCGTATTTTTTCCGGGTACTTTTCATATTAAAGCGTTTCGGCAGAAACAAAGAATTTAGGTCACAAAAAGTTAACTCATTATACTCTGCAGTGGCCGTTTTTATCGCAGCTCATTCAATATTTTTCTCCAAATCCTCGTTAGTTTCGTTCTCAAAATATCTGCATTGTACTTAGCACGGAAAGCTTTTCGCCTGTTTTCTACCTAGACTCCCGCTCAAAACTTTAGACCACCCTTCGATCTTTAAAATAAATGAACCATTTTTTGTAGATAGACGAACATTAAGTACCAGTATTCTATTCAGAGTACAGAATTGTTTTATTGGCATTAAAATTTATTTAAATATTTAGTTAAGAGTTAAGATCTTTAATTAAAAAACTATATACATTCAGCAATAATTCACTTGATTCTTCTACTCTAGAATATTCTTAAATTTTGTTCGATAAAGCTAATTCTATCTTACGTCATTATGATTTTTCCCAAAAACCTCCTTATAGAACAGCAGAGTAGATTATTGTCTAATTTTATACAAAATATTATCGTACAAAAAAGGCATATTTAGGAACATGATAAAACGCAACACTTTGCGTTTCCTTGAAAAGAGGAGTCTGTAAACTTTTCCTGTTTTTTTAAAGACTATATTCACGATGTCCTTTTAATACGAAAGAGTAAAAGTTTTAATGAAGTAGTATACATGTGTATAAAAAAGCTTTATTTCTATAAAGATCGAGTGGTGGTCCAACCTTTTGAGAGGCAATGTACGGTAATATCTCAAAAAACTGTATCGGTGAACACAATGTACTATCGGTTCTTTTAAATAAAATTAGATTTTTAATCTATTCGATACGTATACGTGACACAAATCAGTTAGTATACAGTAACACAAAAACGAAGAAGTAAAGTGACATGAGACTACTCGGGATTTTCTAGTAATTGCAGCAAACTGCAAGCGTCAGAATACGATAAACGAATAGGAACGAATTTCACGCGATATTCCTATAACAGGGCAAATAATTCTACATTTCAACGTCTCTGTTACATCGAAATAAAACACGTGGCCTACTGCTTTTAATCTTTTGCGAAACATTTTGAAACTTTAGACAGCATAAATCGGTTTTGGAGCAGAGGATAGGGAATTATTGTACTCATTTTATTTCACAATTCGGATTATATATTTGAGCAAGAGGTGCTAGAGTATTTTGTAGAAAAAACATATAATAAATTAATATTTGTAGAAGCTTATTATATCTATTAACTAAAATCTGTTACATTAATTTACAATATTAATATTTATATTACAATATTAAACTTAAAATATTGATATTAATAATATAAAGTAAAACGTGATTTTACGTTTCGAAGTATAATATTCATTATGGAAGATGAAATGCTTTATTTAAGTTAGCCAGGTTAAAAAATAAAGGGAGAAAAGCGTAGAATACCTTCAATCGCTTTTTATGAAAAAGTAAAAAGTTAGCTTCGTAACTTACGCTTGAAACAAAAGCATACAAGACTATGTATTTCTTATTGCACCGTTAACATTCAGTTTGTTTTTCTAACTTTTTTTTAGTCTTTTCGATACTATGCAAATTCGACATAAATTTTTAGAATAGTTTCGTAGTGAATTCGTATGTGTATCGTGTGGATATTATTTTCATTGCAAAAAGAATTGTTTTCGAACATTTTTAAACTTTGGAGCAAAGAAGAGAATTGAGCGAGTCGGGGTGAGACAAGAGCGATCAAATTTCGTACATATAATCTCTCTCATAGTGTCACGGTCTGGTTCCGAGCTAGTGACACTTTGAGAGAATTCGCTGTAAAGCGTTCGAAGCACTCTTGTCCAAGAAACAGTAATCAGAAGTATTTAGCTGCAAGCGACGCGCCACCGTGAAACGCGAGCCTCGGCGTCTGCGGAAATCGCTGACGCGCGTATCGGAAAACTCGACCGGCAGCCGTTTCCATGTTATTGGCACGCTCGTGTTCGGCCGCGTGCTCGCTCGCTTCGCTCTTCACCGTGGAACTCGCTCGGTAGTCGCGCTCGGTCCATCGTCAAGAGGTTCTCGCGACAGAAGGAGGCAAGTAAGTCGGGCAAGTAGTGCAGGCAAGCGGGTGGTCGGACTTTTTCGAGGCGAGAAGCGAGCGAAAAGCGAGCGAGTACGCGAACAGGCGAGCAGGCCGCGGTCGGAGGCGGGTACGCGGTCGCGATCTTCCCCACCCCGGTTTGGTTGGCCGGGCGGGCAAAGACGGCGCAAGCGCGGGATTCTCCCCCACCCCCAGCCGGCGGATACGGAGCGAGACGAGCCGAACGAGAGTAAAGAGGACATCGTATGAGGCGGCGCGAGAGAGATAGCCGCGAAAAGGAAACGGTGCGAGAGAGAAAGAATTACGTTGTGCCCCGCCGCCGCCGCCGCCGCCGCCGACACGGCCACCGCCACCGCCACCACTGCCACCGCCGCCGCCGCCACCACCGCTCTGCCCCGCCGTTTAGTCCTCCCCTCTTCCCCGCGGCACCCCTTCCCCCGCCCCGCGCCCTAAGAGCGCAGTGTCGCGTCGAACCTCTCGCAGAGCGCGTCGCACGTCCGAGTACCGGCCGCCGCCCGTCATCAGTAGTCGCCGTACCGCGCAGCCACGTAACCTCTCACCTTCTCCTTAGTTTTTAGTAGTCAGTAGTAGGGGAGAGTGTGAGGAGAGAGAGAGGGAGCGAAAGTGAAAGAAGAAAAACGAAAGAGTTACGAGAAATAACGAGTACCGGCCGACAGAGAAAAAAGGGAAGAAACGAGAGGTCGACAGCCCGTTTTTTCGTAGCGGTGATCACCGTACTCCTCGTCGTCGTCGTTGTCTACGTTCTCGTCGTTGTCGTCGTCGTTGTTCCGGTGTTGGTCGTCGTGAACCGGCTCGACGCGACCCAGCGCGTATAAAAAGTCCGTCAATTCCCGTAAGTGCGAGCGTGGAAACGAGCGTACGCGCGAATAAAGTGCGTTTCGTTCGTCTACACCGTCCTATCGTCGATAATCGTGCAGAAGCTCGGCGTGTGTTGCGTAGCAACCAGTGAACGCGCACCCTCCGCCAGAGAACATCGAGAGTACCAGACCCCGAAGAAACCGAAGACAGGTGAAAAACGTGGAAGAATAGTGGAGCGCGAAGTCAAAGACGCGAGAGAAGAGTGAGAGCCGCGTGTAAACGAGAGGCTCTCGAAGGATCAGCGATAAGAAGTCGGGGGAGAAGACACGTGAAAGCGCGTGCCGTGACATCCGAAGGTGTCGACACGCGAGCCGTTGTTTGCCATCGGCGGACCAAACGGAGCATCGTTCGCCATACGACGCGATCGAACGCGGAAGAGCGTGAATCGAAGCGGCTATCGGCGAGATCGGCTGCCGCTGCCACTCGGTACTAGTGTTACCGTTGCCACTGCAACCGCGGTCACGCGAGAGCGTTGCGACAACAACGAGCTGTGCGCCGCGCGCCGCTATGGAGCCACAGAATCAGGAAATCGTAGCAAGCGGCTCCCCAGCCGAGGTGCCGAACGATCCAGGGTACGAGAAACCAGGATATATCCTCATCCCTAAAACACGACCTCCACTACATCCACCACCGCCAACAACCATCGACCGTGCGTGAAAATCGGACCGAGAAAACGGTTCAAGTGTGTTGATGCCGCGCTGATCGACGAAACCGGGTCGACGCGGTCGTGTCGTTCCCGTAACCTTGTGTTTTCTGTTGCCCTGCTCCGTGCGAGTGTTTGTTATGTTGTTGCTTCTTATACGGTTCCGATACCATCATTCACCGGTGATATAAAACGTTGACCTCCGGGGGTGTTTGGCGGCAAAAGCGCGCGCGGTCTCTTCGTTATTGCCGCTCGTAAATCGTTCTCGACGGAAAGCATAGTGTTTATGTTTGCCGGGCGCGTGAATATGCGTGCCACGGTGCTCTCCTCGAACCGGTGGCGCCTTCTTTCAGCGCGTTCAGCACCCCCTCAGACTCGATGAAACGAAAGGAGGGATACGAAGGGGGAAGGTTAGATGAATGGGAAGGAGGAGCAGGGGCCGCGGAGAAAGGGGGGACACCCGCAGAGAGAGAAAGAGGGAGGGAAAGAGAAATGACTTAACACCTTTGAATTTGCCGCCAAGGAGCGGATTCGCTCTTTTGAATCTCGGTAACGAGCATGCGGAGGGGAAAGGGGGCGGCGAAGGGTGCGTTCGCGAGCGTTCGAAGCACTTTTTTCGAAATGGTAAATGGTATTGTGTCGCGTGGCGGTTGATATTGTTTCGTTAACCACGTGACTCGCGGGTAAAAACGAGGGGGAACTCTAGCCTATCGGACATCGGTTGAAATTCTGTTTCGTTTTCTATAGCCGTCGTCCCCTTATACGGTACACTCTTTACGCAACAAGAATCGTTTCACGAAGTTGACGAGCGTTTAGGAATTCCGTGGGAAGTTAGACGAGTAACGTCGCGCTATGTTATTTCCCGCGATCGATCCCGACGACATATGGTCAACGGTTTGTCCTATTAACTCTCCTGAACCTATCAACGGGTATAGTGCAGTAGCCTACTCCAGTTCTTCGTATCACGAAGACCTAAAGAGAGAAGAGGAGGCGAGGGGCGGCGGGAGGACAGAGAAGGAGGAATGCGTGGGCGAGGGGAATAGGTTATATCGCGCCGCGGAAAATCGATGTTCAAATGCGCCACCACGTGATTACGTCCACAACGCGAGAGAGCGTTATCTTCGTGGATATACCGTTCGATGCGATAATCTTTGCTTCCCTGTAATGTCCGCGTGTTACGTTGCTTGCAGCCCGTTATCCCCCCCCTCCCCCCCACACTTTAATATGCGACAAAAATTAGCCCTCCCGAGGGAAAAGTCTTTACGCTTTTCCACGATGACTCGTGTAGATTAATAGGTGAACCCCGGTACAACGGTTACTGATAACGTATCGCGAATCGGTCAGCTCTACGATGCGGCAGTGCAAGGGTTAAAGCCACGATTATGAGTCCATTGACGAATCCGATGTGTTTACTGTGAAGATGATATTTACAAATTACTTGTTTATAAGTGATACTTTTCCGCAAAGATTAACGATACACGTAAGGGTGATTATTGTAATTATTACCGGGTACCTTGGCGAACGTGAAAATAAATCGTCTTGATCCGTTGACGTTCAGATTGAAGTTATTAATCCCTTCAAAGATATTGCGCATTGCCTTTCGTTTTGCAATAAAGAAACAACATTAAGAGTTCTGGCTCTAAGTCAAACGCCACGTACGCGAACAAGTTCCTATCCAAAATATATTTCTGTTGCGAGCCGTGTTTGTTTTCGTTGCCGTGCTCGCGCGAAAGTTGAGCCAATGTATGCAAGCTTTCGCGATACCAATGATGATGGCACTTCTCGTAAACTGGTTAATAAGTACAATCCGGCACCGTAAAGCGACGAAGACCGAGCAACGTGAACCGAGGTCTGATTCATGCCTCGGCCAGGTGGGGGATGACGTTTAATTCCTCCGTGCTAGGGGGTTTTATTAAACCCCGCGGAATCCCGTGAAACGGAAGTACAGGCGCGAACGTATTGGTAACGTTTTCAACGTTCGGTTCGCTTCGATGCTCGAATTACATATCGCACGGATAACACCAGTGTATCCGGTTTTTCTACGATGCAAATTGTTGGTAAACAAAGAAGGTGCTCCGGTTCGGAGGGGGAATACGTGTTTATTGTGTTTCGCGCGTGAATCGTTTGATTTTTTTCTCTCGAACGAACGCGATGATCGGGAATCCGTAACGCGTGTTGCCACGAGGTTTACGCGAAAGAGAAAAATCTAAAAGAAAAAATATAAGAAATGATCCGGGAGTTGTTCAGTTGTTGGTTGATGTGTGGTGACACCTGCCGCCAGCAAACGGAGACTGCGCAGGGGGTACACGATACCGGAAGTTACCCTCTGCCGGCAGTCTCTACTTCCTTCATCATCTTCTGCCGTCGATGCGTCCCGATGCCGATGCTGATGGATTCATCTTTCTTTTTCTAGGAAAATGTTCATCGGTGGTCTATCTTGGCAGACCAGTCCAGGTATGTGAACGATCGATAAATCTGCTTAAGAAATCACACCTCTTTGGTGTAGGTTAGGTCTTCCGCATCGTTAGATGAATGCGTGTCGTTTGGGAGGCTAAATTTAAATCTTCGAGCGCAATCTATCATTTGGATGTATATGTGTATTCTTATATGTTTTGAACTTGTCTCTAAAGAATATTAATTGATGCATTATTGAGTGGCACTTTCATATAACGGTTGGAACTGATAATGATAATTTTTATGTTTAGATTAACACTGCAAGTGCTAAATTTCTTTTTATATAAATTGATTCTTCTTATTATCCCGCGTAAAAAAGTGTTAAAGCATAACCATTGAAAGCGTAATACTTCATGAGATATTTCATATTTTACGTCAGGACATTATATTACATTAACCCGAAAGGTATTTCGCGATGAACGTTTAAACATTTTATTACTCGTTTCGTTACACTTTTAATTTTAATTCCATAGAGTGAAACGAAAGGGCGTGTGAGCTGCTTTTTCACAGTTTCTTTTTAATTTATAAAAATATCCTCTTCGGGTTAAAAAAAAGAGTTGCTGACTGTCCTATTTTCTAGAATCACACTACCAGGGAAACTTAAATGTTGATATTCATTGTGTGCTGCTCAGAATAATCGATTCGCCTGAACTTAATCAGCGATGATCCCAACTGATTAAAGATTACTTCGAACGTCAAACGCCGCGATTAACGCGACGACTAATGTAATCGTCAATCTTCACGAGCGTTCAACGATTATTTATTTTAATCGAAATCGTCGACCATTCGTTCGAAGCATCATCACGTACTTACCGTTTAGGAACCATAAGCCGTATCGCGTGCATTCTCAAGCAGTCGATCCTCCATGCACACGCAAGCCGTAGCAAAATGACCGTTTTGGTTGTCGAAAAAATTAAGAAGGGGATTGGAGTTTCTTCGAAAATTATAATAAAGTATCCGGGACAGGCAGAAACGCGGCAGCTTCCCTTACGTGAGAAAAGGAAACGCTCGGCGAAAAAGAAGAAACGCGAGCGGCCGATGTGGCAACGACGAGGAGGTGCAAATTCGAGGCGTTCCTTTCGCTGGGCGAGCCTGCTCGCGTGTTCGAGCGTTCGAGTTAGCAGTCCTTTTATCTTCGTTAAGAGACCTCGTGCCGGGCTGCGAGGGGAGAAAAAAAGAAATTGCCCGACGAGAGGCTGGAACGCGGAACGATAATCGCGCCGCGGCCAAATGGCCATAAGAAGTCACGTGCGTCTTTCGACCGGGCGAGAGGCGTCGGTGGAAAAAATGGGCCTGCATAAAGCTCGCATGGACCGCGATAAGATTAACGAGGGTAATTGATAGGCCGGCCTTGCGGTCCCTATGGCGCGATTTTGAGAAAAACGCCGCGCGATCGCGTGCTAACGGTTCGATCGTTCGTCATCTACCGCGCGGAAAAGTCGCGCTTGACCGCGTTCTGCCGCGAGATAAAAAAACGGCGGTTTCACATCGCCGATGAAGGAATCTGACCGCCGTGGCGTAAAAAATAGTGTCGCTATCGATGACCAGAGACGCGAGGAATTTTTTCTCTAGAGCGCCCCGGTGATTGTGCAAATGTTCGGTTTAATCGCGTAATACTTTCGAACGGAAACCAGTTATTTTATTCGCTCATTGTCGAACTTTGCACCATTATAATAGGAGATTTCCCATTTTAATCTTTGCATGTCGTTGTCTTCGAATCTGGTGGTAACTTCAAAAAATGTTGTTCGAGGCTAGCTTCTTCAGATGGAGTAATATATTTTTCACTATATAAGTTTCTAGACACAACCTGTATAAAATAAACAGTAGAAGGGAGAATTGCAGTAGTACCCAGCTGTATAGGTCCAAGCATGCCCGAAACTTGGCACAATGATGGACCAGGACGGACGACTGTGACTATGATTCAATAATTCGATAGAACTAGGAATTAAATTATTCGTCGATCGCGTGGAAATGATTTCTGTTTACGGTCGAGCAACTTCGGGAGGTAATTAACGGTACAACGTTGCGTCGCTCTGCGCATTTTCCAGTTAGTTCCAATTAAGGGACCTCGTCGCTGAATTATTCAATTACGCGAAAAAAATATTCGAGCGTTCGTCGCGCGGGAATCGCGGAGGCGAAACGTGTGTTAAATTGTGAGATATTTAATTAACCTTTCAAACGCAGTCGAAAGAAATCTCGCGCTTTTTGTCGATTTTATTTCGCGCGACGACACGCGGCCGGGGGGAACGAGACCTTTTCAGATTTTTAACGACGGTTGAAACTTGCCTCGATGCTGGAAACGGTGGCTTCCGAGAAGAAACGCGAACACCCTGGTCGCGCCCGGTAAACGAACAAAGACATTATTGCGTGCGTTGCATTAAAACAATCACGCCGCGCGGCGGGAGGTGTGCAGTATTGCGAAACGATTGCAGTTACTCGGAAACGTGCAACTACTTCCGCAGAATTCTCATGGCGGAAACGCGCCGCCCGCTACGTACCATCGCCTAGCGTTTTCGTGATATCTAATCGGGTGCGTGACAGGTTCTCTTCGTGATACTCGTGCAAACAAACGAATCCAAATTCGTTCTATTGCGTACTATTCGGTAGACACACGAATGCACGTGGGGATTTCGAACGAAATCGTTCGTGTGGCTTTGTCGTATCATGTAACGAATGTTTGACCGAGGAACGACGTCATGCAGATATCGAAGATTAAATTTAACGATAGCTTAAGGTTTAAAAATTCGTGAACAAGGGTAAACGGTTGACAGAAATTGATTTTCGTTCACCGCAAAGAAATAGAATTCGACTACTTTCCCGCATCGATGGTTTGTATCTTTGCTTAGGAAAGAGCTTATACCAATTTCGAGAGTCACTCTGTGTAATGAATTTGCAAATATTGATTCATTAGGTAGCACGTATTTGCATTCTTCTTCTTCCTATTTTCTAACGTGACATTGCAACTTGCAAGCTGATTCTAAATCGAGACATTAAAATAAATTATAATCCACAGGCCTGAAATTACCTTTAGGGCAAAGGAAAGCGAACGAAATCTTGAGAAAAGACATTTTATTATGTGACTCTATGTGCATTTTATAAATTGCAATATCGGAGTACTCTGTAACCTCGAATACGACGTCCACTCGTATCGGAGAGCTAATATTTTCGGACCATGTACCGAGCTTTTTCTTAATTACGCGTCGTCGGAATAGTTTTCGTAACTCTTCATCGAGTACGGACGCGCCTCCTGGAAAAAGAATAAAGAACGAAGGCGGAGTAGGCTCATTAGCGTTATTTGCCGTCGTTACGTAAGTCGCGACTCCATCTCCCTTCGTCTTCTTTCCCGTCGCTCTCTTTTATCGCTTTGTCAGTCTTTCCGCGAGCCGATTCCACGCGAAGAGAAAACGCAGGCAAGAAGACCCGACTTGTTTCCGTTTCTCGCCGCGTGTCCACCGTCTCATTAAGGTCACCGGCCACGGTCGCTCGTCGACAATCAAATTCACGCACGACTGCGCTCCCACACGTGGTTTTCCACCGAGAAACGACTACGATCTCCACGGGGGGAAAATTCGAGCTTCGAAGGACGACCCTCGGTGGTCGGATATCCCAGAAAGTTGACCGGAAACGTTCTTTTGAATGTGAAATTCCCATCTTCGAGCACGAAGTCGTCGAGACGAGTCGGAGTTATCACGAATGTTAGGTTTTTGTATTTAAAAGTCCGTTCGTTTACAGACCTCTTGGCAAACGGTGCCGTTTTTTTCACTATGTTACCTGATCTCTATTTTCTAGACAATGCAACATTAGACAGCTTCTATTAACGCGTCCACGCCTACTCTAATACAATCAATCCTATGACACGCGATAGCTACGCGACGTCGAGTTACTAACCATCCCCAGGTGACCTCCCCTAAGGGTGAATGGTTTATAACACGGGTCATGGGGTTAATAAGCGGGGAACAGCAAGGGTTTCTCACTTTTAATTACGCGTATTAGCGAAAAAGAATGGTGACGATACCGGATTGAAAATAAATGAAATTTTAGTGATTCTTGAAGTTTTTTTTTTTAGTCATTTTCTCAGACTGGTTAAAAGATAAGTTATTCAAATTTCAAATCGATTTCACCAATTGTGTCGTAAAATTTCACAAATCGGAGAAGCACATTCAACTCTGACATTTAATATTCATCGATGCTTATACTGCTATTATTCAGAGTAAACTGCGCATCGAAGGAGACGAAATACAATCGGTTATTGACAGTTACTTGTTTTAGGTGACCGCATTGTAAACGAGCACACACAAGCGCCGGAATCTCTAGTTTCATCATCAGTCATTGTCGAGTTTATTTTAACACATTCGCTAACACCATTCAGTTGGAAAACCGTTCGCCGCAGCTACCACGTTATGTGCGTAGTAATTTCAGTTATTAAGATAACTACTAACGTTTAACGCAAACGAGAAAATATAAAGTTTCCATCGAGAGAATTTTTTTAAGCGATTATTATACGTGTATTTTTTATTTCTTTAATACCGTGTATATGCATTTAAGAAAATTCCTGTCCATAGAAAAATGTAAGGAGACAGATTATTCTAAAACACAGATTTTTTTTTCTACGTTTAAACAGTGACGAGCTTGTTAAAAATTTCACAGTTAGGGAGATTGGCCACGTTTTGGAGATTTTGTCCCATTGCTCGTTGCGGGCTGTCGCCGAATTATCGGCGTATAATGATCGATCGACGGTCACTCGCGCTCCATTTCCGCTGGTTAACCTTCCTTTCAGCAGCGTTGTTGCGAGAAAGCGTGTTCTGAAGTAGAAAAAGCGGAGCAGTCGTCCGGCCATTGCGCGGTGTAAGCGTCGTAAACCGTGTCTCGCGATACCGTTTCGCAAAAGTTCATAGGTACAAAGATGCAGCGTGTGTTCGTCAGCAACCGTGGGAAAGAGTCGACGAACGCTAGACAAGATACGTTGCTTCCATCGTTTATCGTGTATCATGAACCCGGAT